GTGTTTAGTACGTTTTGTATCATTGCAACTTGCAATTCGCCATTTTCTAGGGGCAGTGATATAATATTATAATTCCATTATAGGTATTTCTAATATACATTTTGCCGGTTGTGTTGTGTTGTGGCGTGTTGTATGTACTTTTACAGTGCACCATGGAGTTGGAATCATTAAAACTCCTTTTAAATAAATGAAATTTAATTTATAGTTTTTACTATTAAAAGTAGTAGTCTGGATTTAAATACAACATAAATCCTTGTACATTGTAGCAACCAAGTTTTTTTTATCAAAAAATTAATTGTTTCCTATTGTGTTATAACAGTGCTATAGCAGTCATATTGATTTATTGATATCACTAACTATTACAAGGTTTTCGTATTTTTTCTGTGATTTTTTAAAAAGTGTCCATAACTACGTATAGGTAGTGATAAATTGTTGGGTAAGCTAATTACTATATGAAAGGTCATTCTGATCGCCTTATACTTGAGCAGGTAATCTAATCGAGTCTAAAGTATCCACCTAGTTTAGTGGCGGCTGATTTTAAATTTATGGGGCCACCAGTAGCCAATAATTAATTATCTAATTAATTATTATTTTGTGCTTGTTTAAATATGTGTAGTTTTTCGGCCGTACAGTTTCTATATACAAATTTAAAATGAAATTTCATTTGTACTTTCGGAAAATTCGTTTAATGAAACATCCACGATAGTTGAACTTGATGCATCAGTAAAAAATATGGATCGAGTAAAGTAGCTAGTGTAGTTGGTAAATATTTTAGAGTTGATATTCAGTGTAAAATGCACCAATTATTTAACTCTATAGCTTAATATTACTCTACATAACTCTATATTATATTATTTGACAGTGTAATAATAACGTAACTCTAAAAATATTATATTTTTTACTCGAATGTCTAATGCAATCGCATTAGTGTTAATTTAGACATTTACACTATAAATTAGTATTTTACAACCGCTATTTGCGTTAAAATTTCCCTAGTTTTCCTCTTGCTAGTGTATTATTGTTTTGAATTAGAGTAAAGTAAACAGTAATCGAGTATAGTTTTACACTAAAAAGAGTTAAATCTACACTATTAGGGTTATTATTTGTGGTGGGGATTGCAAAGCGTTTATAAATTTGTAAACTAGTTTAGTGCTGTTATTATTTATTATTATTTATATTAAAGATATTTTATTGTAAAAACTTGAAATGTGATTAGGCATTATGTCTAAAAACCGATAATAACAGAAACGGGCCAATTATATACAAATCCCATTCAAAATGGATGCATTGATTTAAAAGAAACATTTGTTCGAGTTAATTTAAATATTTTAATTATACATTGTTTTTATTTTTATGTTAACATTAGTTATATGATTTTTTTATTTTTGTTATTTTTCACAAAATATACTTTTGAATTTAAATATATGTTTTTAATTTTCCTCTCTTTATAGCAACAAGGATAGAGTAATTTTTACTCGATTTGAATGTAAAGTTTACTAATCAGAGTAAAAAAGGTATACATATATGCATATTAACTAAAAATAGAGTAGTTTGTTTACTCTAAAAGATTAAATAACTCATTAATAAGAGTCTAAATGTTATAAAAATAGTGTAAAATAATACTCTAATTAACAAAACTATTTTTTTCCGGGTCACTACCCAGAGTACCCTTAACACACAGTAGTGTTGTATTTCGAAATGTCACTGCCTTCATATATTTGCAACGTACTCTTCAGCATCGAATATGTTGACCACAGTGACGATGCCTGATTATTGGACTAAAAATACAAGAAAAAATTAAAAAAATTATAAGAAGCATTAGCTTCTTACCTTTCCCAAAAAAACGCTAGCAAAACATTTTCACTGACACCTTGTACCCCTTGATTGTTTCTCCATTGACAGAATTGTTCAAAAGTTTTATCATACGTTGTTAAAATATTCTTAAGCTTGCTAGAATAGAACAAAATATCGCATTCAAAAAAATTAAAGCTTAAATTTTTTTGGAATTCTAAATCTTTCTCATTTCGTACCCCTGTGGATTTCAGACTTAATGCAGCTGTAACTACTATAAACCTTTTTATGGCCATGGTTAAGAAGTATATAATTATATACTTACCAAATTATGGTTTCAAGCAACGTATTAATTATCTAATAAAATGTACAATATTTAGTGTTTTAAAGAGATCCTCAGTTAATGTTATTTGAGTCCGGAAAAGACTCATTTTATAGACTCAAATTTAAATAAGGTGATGCATCAATAGCAAAAAATAATACAGAATAAACAAACAAAAACACAATAACTAGATGTAAATATTTGAAACCAGTTTACATTATAAATAATTGAACAGCCATTAGTTTATATAACCTCTGTATACAAGCCATATTAATCTCAATGTTACTGATACTATCGAAATTTTATAAATAATGATATGTTTTTTTGCTTACAGGTTTATTTATATTATTTGCTATAGGTAAGTAGTTCTTTAAGTACCTTTGTAATTGTATTGTAAATAAATATACAGGGTGTTGTAGAATAGCTCGGCATTCTTAAACTATTCGTTATGGCAGATCTTCAATAGAACACGGAGAGAAATGTATAGTAAATTTTAGATAGTAAAAAAATATAGTAAAATTTACTTTAACAAATTTTTAGGGTAACAATATTATTTATTCGTCAATACAATTTTAAGATTGTAATACAAAATACTATTTTTTATTATACAATTTTAGTTAAGATTACAACACCAATATTACTAAATCATAAATGTATAATATATATTTTAATTTTTAATATGTAATATTTACTAATGATTTAATCAAATGTACATCTTATATTATAATATATTACACATTATTAAAAAATATAGTAAAAATAAAGATACTTTTATGTTTAAGGTAAATAAACAATATATTTAAATCTCATGACATTTTAAACATTCAATTTTCTAAGTTTCTTCAATAATATACTTATAAGAAAGAATTGAACCTACTTGGTTGCATAGTATGTACCGATTGCGGCAAAGGCCACGTCGCGACGCGTCGTTAGACGGTGTGGATCACGTGATGTTCTTACATCTCGCCTCTGTTGGCTTACCAACCATGTTATGTAAGCTCAGGTATTTCTTTGTTTTGGGTGTGTTCCACTACTACAAGTTGCTCGACAGTGTCGTGTCGACACTGATGATACCCAATATAGGTCAAAACACCTGTCTGTCGGTATTTGAAGTTGATGGAACGCACTCAAAACAAAAAACTTTGGCGAGGTGTAGGTTCAATTCTTTCTCATAACATTTTTGTATATTAAAAAGTATAATAAAAATGTTACACTTTTTAATTGTTAACAAATAATAAATATTCCATTTTAAAATATTTTATATTTAAAATGGCTACATAATATTTTAAAATTTACTATACTTATTAATAATGGGAAAAATGTAATTATAATAAGAATTAAAAACAAAATTGGTTGAGAATAATAATATTTTATCTTAAGGTTTAACATATATCCATGTATACATGGATATTTAAAAATTGGGGAACAATTTTTTTAATGCACTTATAAGGGTGTGACACTCCCCTATACCCCCAGGCACATTAATTCACTTAACCACTATAAATAAAGTGTTAAAGTTCTTTTATTTTTCGTCTTATTCAGGTTAATTTACAATTAAAATTTATGGCTAATCTTCTTCTAATTAATTAATATAACGATCCATTAATTAAGGCCTTGTAAACATCGTAAAACATCTATTAGATGCCGGCGTCACGTATTAATCCGTTTTGTACGTTATAGGTGGAGACACCTGGCGGAGAGTAGCGGTACTGCGTTTTCGTTAAGTATGTTGTCTACTTGAGTAAGTGGCAGCGGGGTTTAAAGTTTAAGATTAAAGTTTTCTGTATTTTAAATTTGTGTTTTTATTAGAAATCTATTTTAAAAAAGATAATTCTGGATGTATAATCAAAATAATTTGGGTGGGTAAAGTGGGTTTCATATAGTTACGAGAATAAATAAAATACTAAAAAATAATTTTAATTTTTTTATCAAGTCTGTTAAGCTGCACGTTGTTGTTTATTTCCATGGAAACGCGTTATTTTGATCTAAGTTTGACGATTAAAGTTTTTTTGTGCAATTAAACATGATATGTTGTTGATTTTGGGGGAGTGTAGAAAAAACTACAGAGAAGCTGCACTACACTGTGGTCAAAACTTAAGTATAGGACGAACAAAAATGCCAACCAAAACTGATAGCATATTTTGATTATAGACCCTTTTGGTAACACCAACATGTATTTATCAAAATCCCAGCTGATCCTATTTTAAAGTTTTTCAAACTTTTTTTTTCTATTTCTATATATTATTTTGCAATTATTGTACTAAAACTACCTGTACAATTTCAATAAAAATAAGCAAAATAATAAACTTTGTATCATTTAAATTACTTTACTCCCCAGTATTAATTTATTGAGTCACCTATTATTTTTACCACTCAAAACAAAACATAACAACACAACAAAGATTTATATCTTAAATATTTTTTATAACAAAAAATACTGGAAGTTTGTCTATGAAATAATTACAACTTGCAAATTTTGTAAAACAATAATTAAGTAATCGATTTAGAATCTTTAGTTATTTATTAGTTTTGTATTAGATACCTTAAAACAATAAATAAGATATTGCAAACTGTATTTTACATTATTTTGTATTTATATTGTAATTTATCCATATTTAATGTATCTGCCAAATTTTTAAAAACATTTGATAATGGTACTAGAGTTTTTTATCGAAATGGCATAAACAATTTTAAAATACTAAGAAATATGCAAAACTTATATATTTCAAAAAATGTCTAAATATGTTCCCCCGTGTCCCCATTACTTCACCAAAATTTTACCAAAAAATTTTGTAGCGTTTTCAAGATATTGCGTTTTCAAGATATTGCCTTGTATAATTTTGAAAATTAATTTTTAAAAATAAAAAAAAAACATATTGTTTATTAATGTACACTTTATTCAATAAAAATATTTACATGACTAGCAAAATATACAAAACTGTGAAACAAATCCTATACACAAAATATTTTCAATATCTATCTATCAAAAAATGGACAATTCATTAAGTTGGTAACATTTATTTAGTGCTGCCAAAAATGACAATAACCCACGAAACGTGAATTTTACAAAAAAAAATAAAACAGTCTTTTAAATAATCACCTATTAAATATAAACCTTTGGAATCAACATATTTACAGTAATAATCTAGCACCCCTGCTAATTTGACACCTGTCAAACATAACCTTAATTGACGGAGTACAACGCAGAACATAACCTCAACTGGAAGTCTTTGTAAAGGAGTTTACCGCCCAAGGGCACCCTCGACAGAAACATGGTGGGGGACATCAAACAAAGAGCTTTTCCGTTCATTAAAAATCTGGAGCAGGGTACTTCCGGTAACCCGTGGGAGTTTGTGACGTAGCTCAGCCATTGGGCCACGTGTTCTCTGGTCCACAACCTCGGATCTGGAAAAAAAATATTTTATTAGTGGGGATTTTGAAAAAGTCTATTTTTCTAAAATATTTTGAAAAAATGTTACTTCCGGTTTAACCGGAAGTCATTTATTTTAAAAAATGACACTTCCGGTTTAACCGGAATTCATTTATTTTGAAAAATGGCACTTTCGGTTTAACCGGAAGTGTCATTTTTTGACCGGAAGTGACATAAACTTTGTTATTTCAAATAGAACATCCCATATATTTTTACATTTTTAAATTCTACATAAAATTCTGAGTACTATACCATGTCCTATACCGAAAGTGAATAGTTTTCGAGTTATTAATTTTTTTCGTTAATGTTAAATTGACCTGGAATCTTTTAAACAATGTTCAAAAAATCCGCGAATCTAATAACAAAAAAGTAACATTCGTAATTCTTGACACATCTGTTATAATACGTAAAAAAAATAATGACATAAAAGATATTTGTGATTTAAAAAAAAATATACAAAAATATTGAATTCTTAAAATAAAAAAATATTACCTTTGGGTAGGTTATCCTGTTCTTCCGTGGTATCCCTGGTACTATATCTGGTATAACTCGGCAATCTGGACCCAGAAGAAGGCCCGTAAATGACAGGCATGGCTTCCGCAGTTTGTAGGGCCATTTTGCTTGTGGGTCTGTAGTGTCCTATTTTGAAAAATTAAATTTCAAAAATCTGAAACAAACAATTTATTTTTTAGAAAATCGTGGTGGTATATAAATAGCTTGCAGTATTTATAAACTTCTTAAATTGTATTTTGACAGAACCCGTGGTGTCGGCTCAATCAAAAAGATTTTAAAGGGTGTCAATGTTGCTTTAATAAGGCCTTAACTAATTTATAAATGTAATTTTTAAATGTAATTTATGTTAGGTATCAAAAAATAAATATCTTATTTTATTTAATTTTTTTTTTAGATATTTGCTCTAAAATCAAAATAAAATGAGATTATTTTTTTCAGTGTATAATATAATAAACACATTAATAACCTACCGATTAGGTCAGAATTAATTTGGAAAAACCAATTTTGGTAAAGGATATCCTCTATAAAAAACGCACTTCCTTTGGACAAAATTTCCACAAAATCAAAAGGAAATGACAACATTTCCACCTAATTAAATTTGTGATTTTACCATTATGTTATTTTACTGCCAAAATTGATCAATAAGTTTGTTTTAAATCAATACTTTAATATTTTTGTTTGTTGCTGTTTGGTTTGTTAAAATTAGAAACATCCAAATATAGTTTGGTTAGAAATGCAGTATAAAGAAAAATACTATTCCCTCCATTAACAACCCTAGTTAATAGACGGTAGATTAGGGGTAGACCAGACGCAGACCAAATCAGAAATAGTTTTTGCGGATGTAACATTAAAAAGGAAGTCCATATGTTTGTTAAGGAAACACCCTTTCCTGTTACAATATTGCCTGAATCAACTTACCACCCCTTAAACGTATTTCCACCTTCTCAATTATTTGTGTACAGTTTGAAAATAATTTTGAAAAATATATATATATATATATATATATATATATATATATATATATATATAAATATTACATTTTGTTATAGCCAAAGTATTAAGCAGGATCCAATTTTACAATGTTTTTGTTTTTGTTAGATACTTATAGTAATTAGCACATTAACAACCGATAAAAACATGGAAAAAGTGGAAGAAATGGTTATAAACCATCAGAGAAGTAGCTGATGATGTTGGTATATCGATTGGCTCATCCCATGACATTTTTTAGAATGTTTTGGGTATGAAAAGCGTGGCAGCAATATTTGTTCTAAAATTGTTAAATTTTGAACAACATTTTTGGCCAAAAACAATAATATAATGATGCCCCAGCCTCCATATTCGCCAGACATGCCTCTGTCAGACTTTTTCCTATTCCCAAAAATAAAGAGAACCTTAAAGGGCCGTCGTTTTGCAAGCATAGATGACATTAAAAGCGCATCGCTGAAAGAACTAAAGGCTATCCCAAAGATCGAGTTTTAGAAGTGTTTCGAGTATTGGAAGAAGAGCTGGCACATGTGCATAATATCCAATGGGGACTATTTTGAAGGCGACAACATTAATGTAGTCGAATAAATAAATATTTGTTTCAAAAAACGAAAATTCCCGATATTTTCTGAACACACCTCGTATGTATAAATCCTACAAGCATTGTAATTTTACTAAACAGTTCGACAGAAGAATTTAAGAAAATTGCAGTTTTTGTTTAATATAGTGAATTTCTACAAACATTTTGTAATTTTCCCAAATTGAGTTGTAATGAATCGTGTAGTGAATTTACAAAACTGAGTTTTATTATTACTATATTGTGATGCGTAAAAACTTTCTAAACATGTTTAGTAAAATTACAATATAAATTTTTAACAGTTTTCAAGTTATAGGCAATTTTTAAAGAAAAAAACTAATAACTTAAAAACTATTCACTTTTGGTTTATGACATGCTATAGTAATTTTACTCAAAATTTTATGTAGAATATAAAAATGTATAAATATATTATATATATATAGGGTGTTCTATTTAAAATAACAAAGTTGATGTCACTTCCGGTTAAAACTTCTTACGTCATTAAAATGTTGTTTAGAAAGAATAAACTTTTAGTTTAAAAACAAAAAAAAGCACTTGTGTAAAATGGAATAAATGATAATGGAATTGAAAATCGAATGATAATATATTTCCCTTTCCTGTGTAGGTAGTTGGGATCGAAACTGTGTGTTTCAAATAAAAGCGCCAAGGATACGGATATAGGATATCCTGTTTTTACATACTTATTCACATACCTACGTCCTTTAAAAATTATTGTTTAAAAATGTAAATGATATCCCTATTTATAACGAACACAAGCATTCAATTATTTGTTTTTTGATTGTTTTTTTTCGCGAATATTAGAAAATACATGTTTTGTTAATAACATGTTATTAAGTTACAAATAAAATTTATTTAATATGGTAAACTTTTTTTAACATTAAATGTTAAGAAAGACTTTAAATGAAATAATCTTATTCTTAATTTAAGATGTTAATCTTAAATTAAGAGAATCGATTAGACCAAATTTTGTAAAATTCCCTCTATTCTGTTCTTAAAGATATAAAACTATACTGGATATAAATATAATTATATTTATTCTACTCTCTAAAAATGAAACAGTGGATTTTCACTGATTGACAGTGCATATTAACTATTTGCCGCAGTGATAAGTATACCACTAGCAATTAGTGAATACTCACTTTTTCATGTAGCGATTTCTTTGCACTAATTTATTTAGTGGAAATTACACTGTACAAATTAGTGAAATAGGTTTAGTTCAAAAAAGTTAAAATTTCACTATTTTATGTCGAGAGTTCCGGAAAAGTAGTGATAATAAAAAACACTAATTTGGAGAAGTTAAAATTTCACTAATTTATATTGAAAAACACTAATTTTACAGTGAATAATAACTCACTGACGGAAATAGTGAAAATTTCACTGTTTCACTTTTAGAGAGTAAGATTAGTAAATATTGGTACGACTGGCCTATTCTTAAAAATATCCCCCACTCACGAAAGTGTCCTACATTTTGGAAAATTGTTCCTTGTGTCAGTTAATATTTGGTTTGAAATTATAAAAGAGCTGCTAAATTAGTATATTTCTCTATCAGAAAAAAAAACATAGCATAATCCACTTTTTACCTTTTGAAATAAACATGGTCATTATATCCCAACCTTTATTTAAAGTCGAGTAAAAGTTTAAAAAAGAATAGACAATATTTGAAACAATTATTGCTTAACTTACATAAAGATACCTTATATTTAATCCAAAAGTAAATACTGTATCGCCAAGAATTATAACATTTGTATCAAAAAATAATTATTCTTAAATTAAGCATAGTGTACTATATTTTATTTGAGTTAACCATATGTTGACAACTTATGCAGACACACTGTATAGTATTTTCTAAACTTAAATACTAACAAATTCTTACCTCAGTATAAATAGAGTCGTCCAAAAATCTTCCTTCCAATGCAAAAATCCACTTCACGTAACTTTTTTCTTCCTCGAAATAAATTACAACGAAAATAAAACAACAAACTTCAATAATTGACAATCAATCGCTAGTGCTGTGCACGCGTACAAAACAAAAGCACGCGACAAAGTAAACGAGACACCGATCGACGGCGGCTTATTAGAAACAATTGACTGTGCGCGTGTGTGACTTGATTAATTTTAATCTTTCGGCTCGTTTAAAGCGAGAAGTAAGTGCTAGCTTTGGTAGCTGTAAGCGTACTAGCGGGAAGTGACAGCTGATCAGAGTTTTATAGGGGGGTTTGTTGGGTGGACTTGGAGGGAGGGATTTTGTCGGTTTTTGTGTTTAGGGTAAGGGGTGGGAAAGGGATTACCTGTGTATTTACAGATTTTTGGAAATGTCTTTTGATGAGGGCTTAAAGAAAGTTAAAATAGATTTTTAACATTTAATTTTGTATTTTTAGAAAATTATTTGTTATTATTGTTAAATACGAAGAAATAGTATTACGAAACCATAGGAAATTACTAAAAAACAACAGGAAATTTAGATTAAAGGGAATTGCTAATCATAGCAAACAACATTTAAACTTGCTATTGTTATTCTAACTTGAAACGTTAATAACTTTTGTTTTTAAAATTAAAATATGTAATAAAAATTTTATGTTAAATCATATTTATGTTACTTTATTAGTGTTGGTATAAAAAAACTTGCGCTTTTGTTGATATCAAACAATAAATGTCTTATTTTATTTAAATATTTTTTTTGTAAACCTTTTTTTCAGTCAATCTTCTAGTTTTTAACGATGCCAATATTTAGGCTTGAACTCACCTCACTACGAATTTTTTGATTTTAATTGTTAAATGCATGTTTCAATAATTAAAATGTGGTGAGGGGAATTTAAGCTTAACCCTTTCAATACTGCGGGGATATATACGTCCCAAAGAAAATTAAAAAATGTCTCTACTTAATTAAGTGCGTTTAAATAAAACAGGGTCGGGACAATTTAGTATTTCTATGTCTTGACTTGGGATATCAGTAATAAAAACTTAATTTATTTAACGTCATGTGAACAATAACCAGCTGTTTTTCGGCCATTGCACGCTCTAAATTGAAAAAGACCAGTCACATAACCTATTTTGTGCAGTTTTTGTGTAAATTTTGCTTGAATTTTTGTGATACTTTATGTGCATTGTACGTCACAACTCATTCCTCAAAATATACGTTGGGACAAAAATATCCCACCAGTAATATGACAGGGGATAGTTTTATCCCATCAGTGTTTTTTGATAATAAACATTTTCAAAAATAGTAGAATTTCTTTAGTGTGGGGATAAATATATCCCAGGGCATATTACTGCAGGGATAAATCTGTCCCAGGCCTTTTTTTCAAATACCACCAAAGTTAAAAATCTGTTATTCAGTCAATTAACTATTTTTAACCTAAATATAGTTTTAACACTAATAAAAAAGTTTTAAATTAATTTCCGAAAAGTCGTATTGAAAGGGTTAAATACTAACAACGCTGGTATACTATAGTTTCAGTGAAGATCAGAAGCTTTTGAATCAGTGTTGCAAAAATCCTAATGTAAAAAATAATGCATTCGTCATTTTTTTTTAATGGAACGGTAATTCTAATTCATTTCCCATAAAAAAAATTAATTAATTAATGTAAAACATTTTCAATTCTCATTAAACAATTCAATACATTACTCGTTAAAAAGTTTGCAATAAGTAATGGAACATTTTACATTACTCATTAAAAAAAAATGTGTAATGTGTGACCCATAACATTTTTTTTTCGTCAGCATAAAAAAAATCAAATTTTGGAAAAACTTTTTTGTCGATATGAAAAAAATTCAAATTTTGACAATTATTCAAAATTCCAAAAAAAAAAAATCCAAAATACCTAATTAAAATTTTCATAATAATCGAATAAAAAAATTTAGTCAAAAGGGCGTATGTCTCGAGATACGGCGTTAGTAATTAAATTTTTTTACACATTTTGACGTTTTTTTAAGTTGAATTGCCCTGAAACATTTTTTTATCCGCCCTTTTGGCACAAAACCCTATCTAACTGCTGTAGTACGCCCTTTTGGCATTTAAAACGCGATATCTTTAGAAGAAATATTTCCCTAAGTTCCATAACTACAACCTATTTTCAATACAAATATTTCGTATATTATTATGATATTCAATGCAAATCGTGCGAAAAGTAAAAAACAAATGTTATTTGTTTTACAAGTGTTGAAAAGCGACTTTTTCATGCGAGTTTTTAAGTTGCTCACGAGGCCGTTAGGCCGAGTGTGCATTAACACGAGCTTGAAGAAAGCTTTTCTCACAAGTGAAACACAATGTTTTTTTTACGACCCTTTTATTTTTTATTATTTTAAAATACAAAACAAAATAACCTAAAAACGTGTTTGACAGCTGAATGTCAAACGATGCTGTCAAATTTCTTTTCACACAGACCTGTCACTTTTCACACAGAAATGTCACTTTACATTCGTGTTTTGCCTTGCCAATGAAAAGATTCATTTTCTAAGCAACGATGCCATCATGAAAAGTGACTTTTACATAGTGGTCGTAGAAAAAAATAATTTCCGTACCTGTGAAAAATGAGCAATGAAATATTCATTTTTTCCCCATTAAAAAAAAATTAATAATGAAATAATTCCACATTACTCATTAAACATTGAAAATTAGAAATGTACAAGTAATTCTCCATTAAACGAATAAAAATAAGTAATGTAAATTAATTTCATTACTCATTATTATAAAAATGCGCAATGGAATATCATTGCTTTAAAAAAATGCCTTTTTTGCAACTATGTTTTGAATAAAGCAATACATACTATTGGACCAAGAGATATTTGCTCTAAAATTAAAATAAAATGTGGTTAGGTCAATAGTATATGCTTTTGTAGCAAGACAAATTTTCTTTCTTTGAAAGTTCCTCAGCTTTTCAATTAAGAGATGCAGTTTTCTTTCTTGTTAAAATCCCATATTTTTGCGCTAAAAAACGTTTTCTTTATTCAAAAGGGAATGTGAAACACCCTGTATATGGCAAAAAAGCAAACATTTTTACCTTTAAAAATCTCCAACTTTTGCACGGTATAAAAAACACCCTGTATAATATTTAAGAATTATCTAATTTTACACAATTTTTTTTAAATTTCTCCAATAATATTTTTTTTATTTTCGCGCAATAAAAATGTTATTCATGCGGGTTCCAGGAACTTTCTATAAGCATAAAAGTACCTACTGCCATAAAATTCCTTTTAAAATTAAATTAACATTTCCTAATTTATTTAGGCATACAACAACAGCAGCGCAACGATATAACAAGAAGAAGGAAGGATATTACATTAGAATACATATTTCCGTTTCAATTAGCCAGTGTCGTTGTGTATTTTTATTCAAAGTATTTTTAAGAAGCCGGATATGTTTCCTGCTAATATTTGAATAATCAACAAGAAATCGGCCTGTTGTTGTTTAATTATCGTTAAGAAAATATCCGAGATGGAAAATTTATTCTTAAAAAGCTCGTTGAGCGCCTTAATTTCCTTTTGGTTTGGTGCACATCGCAAGGAAATTATTAAAAATAAATACCTTGTATATGTGAATTTTAATTAATACGTAGAGGAGGTGCAACGTCTCTAAGATAAAAGTAATTAGTCTTAAGGCTATATATTTTAACATTTTTAAATTTTACATCAAATTCTGAACTGAAAAAAATATATTATATCACGAGAACTATGAATTTAATAGGTTAAACTGGGCTCAGTAGTTTTTTGTTTGGTTTTTGTTGGAAAATGTTGAATGCAAAATAATTTAATAAAATCACGAGACCGCGTAGCGGTCGAGGGGTTTCATTTTTAATTATTTTGCATGAAACTATTTTCCAAAAAGAAAAATCACATAAAAAACTTACTGAGCATAGTTTGACAGATTAAATTTATAGGTTGAGTGATACTAAGAACTTTTTTCTTTAAGCAATAAATACTCTTTTATGCTAAAATATTGTTTCTTGCCGATAATAATTTTTTATCAAGAGAGTTGACATTGAGGATTTTTCGGTAAGTAAATAAATAAATTGTTTTTCTTATAAATTCATTGATAACATTGAGTAAGAAATGGTGTGATTTAAATTAATATTTATTTTACCACAATATATGTCATTTCAGTAGCATTGCATTACGTTGATGATTTTTATCGGATGTGGTTTTTTAATAGTATTTAACATTATCCTGTTTGTTTCATTCATAAAAATATAAAATAGATATCTATGCAAATACAAAAACTATTTTTTCTACTCCCACCTTTAAAACACTAAGTGACATTTTAAATACACATTGACAAGTTGTGGCTTTATGGCGCTTTAGACACGGGCTGAAGTTAGCAACAGGTTTTTAGTCACGGGCTGAAGTTAGTTTTAAGTTAGTTGACAGTTGTCAAATGTCATACAACGTTAAAATAAAGTGCCTTTCTTGTAAAATAATGTGAAATATGAAAATTATTTTATTATCTCAATATATTGATATATGGTCAATTCTCATATAACTTGTTCCGATGCTGTATCCACTTATTTTTGTGAAAACTAATTCTCGCTCAAGGTTTTTTTTTAGTGTAATAAGCATGTAGCATTTCAAGGTAATGGGAACTTAAATTATGACAACCCTAATCTATTAATTTTTTCCTAAAATGCAGGCTTTATGTTGCAAATGTCACATAAGTTACCGGTCACCAACTGCAATATCCTAACATCGATGAATATTTCAACAAAATGACCGTTCAAACAACTAATGTTAGTGCTTGATTAACTAAAAATAGACTTAAGATTGACAAAAAATTATTTTATCCGAAATCGGCAGTAAAGTAGTCAACAATCGTAAATTAAAATAAATCGGCAGTAAAGTTCTACTTTACTGCCGATTTCTGATAAAAGAATTTTTCGTCAATCTTAATTAAGTCTATATTGAGTTAATCAAGCACTAACATTAGTTGTTTCAACAGCCATTTTGTTAAAATATTCATCAATGTTAGGATATTGCAGTTGGTGACCGGTAACTTATGTGACATTTGCAACATAAAGCCTGCATTTTAGGAAAAAATTAATAGATTAGGGTTGTCATAATTTAAGTTCCCATTACCTTAAAATGCTACTT